GGTGCCTGGTCAGTCTGGGTGAGGGGCTGAGGGCTGTTTTCCGGCTGGCGAGTGACTAAAGCTTCCAACCGCTCCTTGTTTTCATTTTTTTTTTTTTTTCTGGGCCAGCTTTAGCTCTGAGGCCTCGCTGCTGAAAACATGGATACAATGTTTCGGTCCGGCTGGGTTTCAGTCCGGCTGTTTTCTGGGGGTTTGTTTACCTTCTTATTTGCAACATAGTATATAGTTGCTTAGAGTTGCAACTGAGAGGCTGGCAAGTGAGGCGGGGAACGTTGGAGTCTGCAGCAAGCAAGCCTCCCTGCTCGCTTCAGTGCCTGGCTGCCGGCCGCCATCTTGGCTGACAGTTAATTTGCATATACTCACTGATTAGCCAATGAAAAGGGTAGCGGTCGTACGCCAATTACCATGTTTCTCTTTTATTAGTGTAGATTGTGCCTCCACAGCAGCCAGGTAGTAGGTGAGTGGTTGCAACAAGACCCAATGGCATGAGAAATTTAAAATATTTACTAGTTGGTACAAACTTAAGATGGAAAGCAAGGAAGAAATTAACTCATTTTATCAATTGTATTTCAAGTGGACTTCTTTACTAGAGACCAAGATCATTTAGGAAAGAAAAAAAAAGTGGTGTATTATTTTCCTGTGGCTGCTGCAACAAATTATCAGACCTGTGGCTTAAAGCAACAGAAAGGTATTCCCTCCCCAACCCAGGGCCATCTCATCTCAAGATCCTTAATAACATCGGCAAAGGCCCTACTTCCAAATAAGGTCATATTATGAGATGTAAATTTGGGGGAGGGGGCACTATTCAACCCACTACAAGTGGTACGGAATTTTTTTGAAAATAATATCAATTTAAATTTTTGTTAATAATGTATTCATTTTGTTGAAAATGCAGTGGAAGTCTTCCTCCTGAACCCCAGATCCAATTTCTCTCCCGAGAAGCATACAGGATCATCAGCCCCCAAAATACCCATTCAGTCATGTTCTGTGACTCTTTAGGTGAGTCCCTGTGACTCCATTCCTGTCCCCATTTGTACAACTAGCCTAAACCTGGAACACATCTGGGCGATGTCTCATGCCAGCAACCACAGGGCATCTGCTTTTCCCAGGCCACTCTGCCCTGACTTCTTCAACAAGCTGGTATTTGATATTGTGGGCATCACTTCTTAGGGCATTTTTCTGCATCTATATGAATTTTTTATTTTTCCTTTTTGGATTTATAAAGCATTTTGTTCTATTTTGTAACTAGTGGTTGAAATTCCCAATTAGAGGCTAGTTGTTTTTTTTTCTCCAAGTTCCTACTTGTCATTTTTCTGTTTAAAAAGCATGGGAAAAAATGAGTAATTTACAGAACAAAGAGAGCTGTTTTGCATTGCATGAGAAATTGACTTTGGCTGTGTTGATATGCAGAACAAAGCTGTCAGGAAGCTAGTCCTTGCGAGCCTCAGGGGCCCAGCCAAGCAGCTCCCACGTGTGGGGTACAGACAGATTTCCTCCTCTGACCGCACCATGAAAGATTCATTGTCTTTTCCTCAGAAAGTGAAGTGTGTTTTTCCTTACATAGTGATGCCATTATACGAAACAACATGAATTGCTGTGCAGAAATTCAAGCACTTCATCCTCAGAGTGAGGCTTTCTCCTCAGATTTCTGTTTAAAGGTATAATTGTTCTTTTAGTGCTAATAACATATAATCATCTATTCTAAAGTGAAGCCATAGTTTTTCACTTACAACTTCTATCAGTTTAATTATCTAACACATTGTTGGGTCTAGGGTAAAGGAGTCTTCTCTGGCAAGTCAGTCATACTCTGATTCTTCATTTATTTATCCATTCACTTCAATAGTTATTAAGCTTAATTTTGTATCATGTTCTGTGCAAAATACATGCTATATATATGGATTCATGCATGAAGATAGCCCTGCCTGATCACCTGATGACATGCCTCATATTGTGTCTAATGCAAGAGGTGGGGCTGGAAATAGCAGCGGTTTAAGCAAAATATGCAGTGTGTTGCCCACTTACACCAAGGAAAGACATCAGCAGGCACTCAGTGTTGGGGTTTCCCAGCCTCTATCCTCTCCATCACTGCCAATTCTTGGTGCTTGGTTTCCAGTCTCCTGGCAACCTCATGGCACAAAATGGTGGTGGAGCCAACATTCCAGGCAATCAGACAGAAAAGAGCTAGAGCAGCCGTGGGCAAACTACGGCCCGCGGGCCGGATCCGGCCCGTTTGAAATGAATAAAACTAAAAAAAAAAAAGACCGTACCCTTTTATGTAATGATGTTTACTTTGAATTTGTATTAGTTCACACAAACACTCCATCCATGCTTTT